GTGTTAAAAGCACTGGAGAAATCAAAGAACATATTTAAACTATTATAGCTTTTTGTGTTTAATATTGAACGAGACCAGGCTTTTCAGATGTATTGTGTTTATTTTTCTGTTGAGCCCCCTAACATAGATGTAAGATCGATATGATTTCAGTTTCTGTGCTGTATATGTCTTATGTTTCTGTGAAGTATTTCACTTAAGCTCCAGTTGACAACTAAAAGGATTGTGGCCATGTGCGATGAACACATTTGAAAACCAAGATGGTGATAAAGTGGCAATAAGAGAGATTCGGTCTGTTATCAATCTGTAGTTAGCAATTGCATGTAGTCTGTTGGTGGCATCATGATTAATAGTGATAGCAGCTGGATAGTGGAGTGGAGCGGGAGTCGCAAGTTCGATTCCCACCCGGTATCCAGTTAGTGTCCTGGCTAGCCCCCAGCGGCTACATATGCAGCTTGTCCGCAGGTTGGACACAAGCATTTCACTACATGTTGTACTGTGTATGTGACAAGTAAAATTTCCATTTTTGTTGCTGATTTATCAAATTCAATCACAAATCTGTTGCTGTCTACAGACACAGAAAATCGCATCTACTAATTACATCCAGCAAGAGCCTCTTAGACGTGAAACTGAAATTCCTCCACCTCCCAGATGACATTCTTTGTTAATGAAGCTTTTCACTTCAGGCTCACGAACATAAGATCTGGGACTTGACTCTTTGTTTCACCCTCCTCTGCTCAAAGTTGTACAACTGAAGGTCACCTACTCTGGTCAGAACACAAAACGGCTCCACTTGTGTTGAAAAAACTAATTAATCATTAATCTTTTTGAATTTGAGTTATATTTATTTAATTCCCTCACTATGTTCTGTGTGCTGCTCTTTGAAACTTTTGAACATTAAAGGTTACTGATTGCATTTCAGGTCTGACACTCTCATGTAGGAAACATAGAAATTGTTTTAATTGGTTGCCAAATTAAAGTGAAATTAATTTCACTGATTAACTGACTGATTCTTAGTGATACACTGGTCACATTTTTAATCTGTTCAGTGTAAAACCAACCATAACAGATTTCCATTTCCTGCATCACCATCTTAATGCATATGGATTTTCATGACAAGGCGTACTTTTACGATGTGGCTCAACAGGTTGCACGTATAAAATGTTGAGAGCACAATAGAGATTTCAATCTTTAAAAGAATCCTTGAAAATGGGCCAAGTGATGGAGTATGTAGACTTTCAAAAAGACATTTTGAAAGTCTACATACTTTTTTTTTTTTTTGGCTTCCCGTTTTAATTAACATCCTGTTTGAGGAGATGATGCCCTTTGAGCTCTCATTCTACAAATGTGCACATTGTACTTTGGTTTAAATGTGGGTGCCTTGTCCCAGTACATCCATTGTCAACACCTGAGATGTTCAAGAGGGGAAGAAAAGAAATGAAATGAAAAATTAAATCTCTTTTAATCTCTGTGGCTCTAATGGAGGAGGCTGCATTCTCAATTTGTTATTGTCGGCAGTGCTTCAAAGAATGAAATAAAGGAACAATATTAGGCCTAAGTAAAGGGTAAAAAAGAAAAACAGCGCTTTGTCGCTTTCATCGCCAATGAACTATAAATAAGACTAATGTATCAGAAACAGAGTGGAGAAATTAGTGGAGTAAATGAACCGTTCCCTGAATGAAAACATTTAATGAAAAGCTCTCAAAAAATTCTCTTAAGAGACCTCCAAATTATAAATATTTATGCCAAGCAACTGTATAAGCTTATATATTCAACTTAATGTAACTCCACAGCACCAGATTGTGACTGACAGATGTGAGTGGTCAAGCTCTCTCTCATTTTAATATCCTGGTTCAGTGAATCAGTCACCTTGACTTATGATAGCATTTGCTCTCAGCAGGCTCCTGTTTGACACACTGATTGTTGTGTAACAAAATACCCTTTAACATAGACGGTATTTTGGTACACAACACACACAATTTGAGATACAATTGGCTGCTTTTTTAAAAATGTAAGTAGGAGGAATAGAAGCTCTAACATAAAAAAAAATAAAAAATCAAAACTGTTTCATTGATAATAATTTTGCACAGTCAAAGCTCTTAAATCCTTAAATCCCCTAAAATGTTGATTAAGCTCAACAAGTCATGATTATGTTTGGTCATTAAAGCTTAATGCAATTCCACATTTAACCCTGAAAGTCACACTACAAATAAAACCTGCAGCTTCTCCTTTCAAAAACATGGGTTATATTCGGCTCCGCTTTTATTTGGAGTTGTGGCTTCGTTTTAAGGCTAACAATGTCCACATACTGTAACTGTTGGGCAGCATGCAGTGTGCTATTAAAACAGGATGAGGACAAATACATCACCATAAATGGACTACCGCAGTTTGGGCCGGCACGTCCTCTAAGCAAAAGATATTTCATACAGCACCGAAAATGGCAACTAAATGGTTTTTGACACATACAAGTAACTCTAAAGCTCCACTGACAGATGTGATAATCTGACTTTCTCCTCTCCTGTACTATTCACAGTTTTGCTTTCTTTTTCTAACTCCCTCACAGGCGGAACGTTTATTGAACAAGAACATTCGAAAGGGCATAGTAAACTACTACGATGACTTGGACTTCAAAAACATCATGGACTACGTTCAGAATAGGGTAAGACAACTCTTAATTTCCTGTTACTTGATAAACGTCACCTGTGATAAAGTCTTTTTTACATACGGACTGTATTAATCACCCAGAAACCCTCAGGACTTTAAAATAAAGTCAGAAACCAAAGTTCCTTGGCTTGACTTTAGTAAATCCCCATAAATCCCCAAATACACAACTTTAAAGGATGAATAAATATTACAGCCTATACCTCTCCATCTGTACTAGGAGTGATTTTTTTTTTTAGATCACTGATCTGTTTTAATAGTTTTAAGGGTTAAAGTTATGCCCTCTAATCTATAAATTATAAACTAGAATTAAAGACATGCTTCATGTGCTCTTAAAGATGCGGTAGAGAGTCAGGTGTTTAGCTTTTTTTTTTCTCTCAGTAGGTGCATGTTGTTGTTATAATCCCTTTAATGACGGCTATAATGTGACAGCCAAGCTAGTTAGACAGAACTAGTATTAGCTGGTAAATATCCCGGTAAACACTCGCATCCTGTTATGGTCATATCTAGTTAAAAAAACTGATGAGGCCAGTGCGCAGAATATGGGTGAAGTCACAGTAATAAGTTAAGTTAATCTCCTGCAGTAGAGACAAAGCCTGATTATTATTGTAAAGCTGAGGATTTTTTATTGTTTTAAAACTGCACAACCAGTGAACCTGAATCCTCACTGAAAATTTTTAGTTGCATTGCTGTGCATGACCATCAGAGCACACCGAGCCGCCATGCACACAGCCTGAAGCTGGAGAGCTCTTTCCCAGCTTTTATCAAGCATATGGTAATGCACTGTAGGGGACAGCGGACTGGTCACACATTGAAACTAGCAGCCAGCTACAAACTCTGATTAGCACAGGAGAGGGGGCATATGTTCTGCACGCTACAGGCCTTCATCATTTTAAGGATTGTGGATTTGTGGCCTGATTGCGTGATAGTTGCAGGCTGCTTGAATTCCCTAAAGCTATTGTGTCGCAGGTGATTTGGTGGTTTAGAAAATGGGCTGAATTTTTTACACAGTTGTGGACTGGCAGATTTAACAGCATTTGAGCATTGTCCATGAAAGCTACAAGAAAGATCTTTGTGTGCATTTGGTCAGGTCCAGGTAACTGATAACGGGTGTTTGTAAAACTTTCTCAGGATGAGAAACAGTTTATGCATGTCGATCTTTGAATGGAGGATACTGGCTTTTGCTTTGATGGGGCTTTGTCTCTGGAATACACCGAGCACACCCTGATCTGTTACAGGGTTAACACAGAGGGACAGATGATGGTTCATGTGCACAATCATACTTATGGACAATTGTGGAATGACCAGTTAATCTCACATTAGAGTCTTTGGATTGTGTGAAAAAACTGCACTACCCAGAGGTTACCAAAGCAGGGGCGAGGACAGGCAAACTTTACTCTATACTAGCTGGATGTGTAAATTGATAAACAAGGCATTTATACTGAGAGAACTGTTGCTCACTTGATAATTTTTCTTTTTTAACCAATCGCTGTAAACCCTAGAGATAGTTGCGTGTGATAATCCCAGTAGATCAGCAGTTTCTAAAATACTCAGACGGGTCCGAATTGCCTCAACAAACATGCCACCTTAAATCACATTTCTTCCCTATTCACATGTTCAATTTGATCTTCAGCAGGTAATTAACTGGCAGCGGAAGAGGCCTAATAAATCTGGTCAGTTTATAAAGAGAGAATGCAACAAGATTTTTAAAAATTAATATCTTTCTCTTTCACAGAGAAGGTTTGTTAATGCTGGAGGAAAAAACATCTGACAATAATGCATGTGCTTAGTTGGTTAGGACAATTAGTTTGGTGTATTTATTTTTGTCAAAGATCAGCAGCACCTTGGTTATGCAGATCTTAGTTGGTTGTGTAGAAAAGCAGTGCCGATTTATTATCTGTCAAAACATAAAAGGAGCCTCGTTTTTGTTTTGGCAGCCGATTCATCCAGTGACATGTTTGAAGAACTTTATAGCAGCAAAGATTGCTTCAGTGATGTTAGAAAGCCATTTAACAGAAGCCTGTAAAGTTTTTTTTAAAGCTGCTTGCTGGCCCCGTTGCCCTGCTTTTAGAGAAATTAAGTGTTTTTCTGAAGAACTTCAATGGAAAACCATGTTTGAAAAAACAAACTTGGAGGGTACTGAGACTATGTTCTGAACTTATTTTTGTTTGTGAGAACGGTACCAAATTCAGTCATGCATTTGTGTTTGCGTCGTGTAAATGGTGACATTTTTTTCTGTTCCTTTCCTATAAGATTTAAAAAGGCGTCCCTTTGTTGTCGGTGGGTAAGTGAGAACAACTGAATAGGAAGTTTAGGTTGCGTTTGTCTGTGAGCAATCAGAATATTTCACTGCTCATACCAGGTGTGTGCCCTGTGAGCACAGTTGTGTATCCAGCAGTGTTTTTAATGTTATTTTACATTATAAAACCATCTATTTTTTATTTTAATGTGTTCTGCGTAATGTCATCCCGTGTGCCCGCTGAACTCTGGAAAAGCTCATATCCAGTAAGAAGAAAAAAAACATTTCTAATGTGTTTAGATGGCACCTCCGTCTGTACTGTCAGGTTATTTTATTTTTGTGTGTGTGTGTGTAATGCGAAAAGGGTCAGAGGAGTCTTTCCTGCAAAATGCCAGAAGGTGTTTTGAGTGTAAACTCAACAGGAGGCGTCCTGTCCCAGTCTCCATGTAAATAGCTGCTGATGTTTTGATGGGGCTACGTCTTAGCCATCTGTCATAATTGCAACAACAAAGGAAAATTGATTGTCGGGACCAGTTTTCAGGCTTGAAAACGCCCTCATGCCTCAGAGCCCGAACAGTTGCGTCAGCACTTTTTCTTTTCTTTATTTTTGTTATCGAACGGTCTCTGAATCTAGAAAAGGAAATCGACAATCCAACATTCAGAGCCGGGACACACACATTGTTTAGTCAGAGGAGGCAGAATTTAATTTCTGCCATGCTATTTTTCTTCCATCCCCTCTGGTGACAGTCAATGCTGGACTCATTGTTTTCTGTTTTTCTTGAATGTGTCATTTCAGAAATGCATTTTGAAAGTTCTTAGCATTTGGCACAAACATTCACTTTGGCTGAAGGATGAATTAATTGCATTAAAATTTCACGAAAATGTCTAATAGGATAAAAAAAATATAATGATGCTTTTAAATCCGAAAGGTCAAAGCTTCACTTTCATAATTTTCTGGAAGTTTCTCACTAAAACTATTTTTACAGCGAAATAGTGACCATCATTCACATTTGGTAGGATGCCCAACTGGTGACACCCTCTGTGAATAAAGGACCAACTTTGATGAGAATTTGACACTTTTTTTTCTTGCCTGAACTTCCTTAATTAAACCATTGCCTACTTTCAATGTTATACCTTTGAGTTTTTGCATCCATCCATTCATTTATCCGTCTCTTATACTGTGATGGGTTAGAGGCGGGTTACATCCCTGGACAGATTGCCAGTCTATTGTTCAGCCAACGCAAAAGAAATGGAAGAGAATATTTCCAGTTAACCTCACATTTATCAGTATGGTCAGCTCCATAGATTTATAGAGATTTCTGGAGTCAGTAGGGGCATGGATCAGAGAAAAGAGTAACTTGAGCAGAGAAATAGCTGTGTGAGTACTGTTTTAAGATGGACTTTAAGTGAACCTCTCCTTGACAATATTAAAATCTGATTCTGTACAGGTTAAGACATCTTCACTTTAATAACTGAGATAAAACTCCAAATGTACAGTTACTTGAAAACAAAAGCACACCCACTTTCTATTGTAAGGGTTTCTGTATCAGGACATGTTAAAAATAACCTGGTCCTTAGCAGGTTCTAAATTTTGGTAAATACAACCTCAAGTGAACTAAAAAACATGTCATTTTACACCATGTCATTATTTAATTAACAAACATTAATTAAGCCGAAATGCAGAAGCAGTGTGTGGGAAAATGAAGTACACTCTTACTGCTTCCATAGGAATGGGGAAGTAGGTGTTAATCAAATGCTCTTGATTAAATTATCATCAGCAAGTGTGACCACCTGTCTGAAAGCAGAATGTTTGCCAGTTTGCTGGTCCGGAGTATTCAGGTCTTTTACACAGTGCCAACAACAAAACACATCAACAGTGATGAAATTAAATTGGAGAGGTTTAGTCTTAATGGATAGCACCATATCTGGCAAAAACCAAACACAGCATATCAGGACAAAGAGGTGGTCGAGGGGTGATGATTTAGACTGGTTTGGAATTGGACCTGGACATCACTGTCTCGACCATGAACTACTCTGTATACCAGAGTCAGATGTGAGGCAACATGTCTGTCAGCTGAAGATTGTGCAAAACCGGGTCCGGCAACAGGTCAATGATCCCAAGCACAGCAACAAAACTACAAAGAAAAGACTTGAGCGAGCTGTGTATAGACAAAAATCTGCAATCACCAAATGAACTGAAGCAGCATGGTGAAGAGTGGGCCAACATTCCCCCACCTCATGTGAGAGATTGTGAGAGACTGATAAAGTCACACAAAAATTTGCTTACTTCAAGTTCTTGACGATTGGTTCTACAAGCGGATGTGGAATGACTCTAGGGTTCAAACTCCAGACTGTAATAACCACACCACCACTTCCTGTTTCTTAACCGAATAAAGCAAGTAGGACAGGCATGGGGTCACATAGAAGGGTTCTGCATATTTGTTTTTCTCATTACATTTACACACTAACATAGCAGGCGTACACCTGAGCAAGACCAAGCAAAATCCATCTGAGGAGTTGACAAAAGTTAGAGTTGGGCCTTAAGTCTAATTTCCATTTTTTTACAAAATAACTTTTAACCATTTCGTATCTGAAATCTTGTATAGTGTCTGAAAGTGTGACGCTATCACTGGTTTTACTGTTAATGGCTCTTCCTTTGACACAGAGAGAATGATAAATGTCACATGAACCACAAAATAATTGATCTTTTAGTTTGAAGCATACTTAAAGACGTGTCTTCAGTGACAAAGCACATCTGT